AACTTGACGTTTCATGCTCGAGTGGGACTGCAGCACACGAGGTACTTGTAATGATTCGGTTTCTAGGCGCTAGTCCCGCCAGCTCCACGATGCATCAGACCCTGCGTCTTATGTGCTACCAATTGATTCTCTGTTTGGATTTTCGCAGAATGCATGAGCCAGCCACCATGAAATCAAACGAGGTAAGATACAATTTTGCCTCCAATATGAAAGCACAGAAGATTTCTGCAATTGTCTTAACTTCCCCTTCCTATTGTTCCTCATGCTCACTTGGCTCTTGTGTTTGCTTAAACGTTTCACAATTCGCTGATCCAAAGATCCCTTCTGCTAGCTCTTTCTTAGATGGCTTATTGGACAATGCGACTTCTCGGGGTTATTCGCCCGCACAGAAGTTATCTCGATTTTGGATATCAGAGCATTTCAAGCAATCAGAATCCCAACGAGCTGCTTCTAGAAGTAGGACGTCAAAAATGATGAAAAAGCGAGAAAGCTGCGAAGAATTCGTCAGTCAATCAGATAATCGGGCAATTAGCTGCCTCTTGAATACGGCGAATGAAAAGATGCTCACTTTGGACGGATTTCAGGCATGCTAATGAGGAGTAAAATATGCTTCTTTATTATATATCTTAATATGTTTTCACACTTGCACAATTAAATTTCATATATTTTTTGCGTTTACTAAAGTTGGATTTATATATCATTAAATTTATTAGGGTAAATTTTTATTGAATTGCTTTCGGGCCAACCTGCTTAATTTATTTTAAGTGGCTAATAATGGGAAATTTAAATATCCACTTAAAGTCTCTTGATATTTCAGTACTTGATTAATCAGTAACAGAATATTTAACTAGTGAGTTCTCAAGCCTCGCAGTAATTGTACAACTTTCTTCCTTGTGTTTTGAATTTGACACAAAATTTGCCAGTGATGTCTTTTTAAAAAAATGCTCGCAATCCCCATTAACCAAGCGATCCTCAGGTCTAGCTATCCTATAATTATAATCTTAATGATATTTCTTCTGCTTTACTTGTGTATATTCCAGATTACAATCCTTTATTAACTAGTTGTTTTTTGTGTACATTCATGTAATATAAAAAGGCAAAGCTTTTATTTTATATAGCTGTTATATGAAGCTAATAAATGAAGGATCTTGGGTGTATTGGGAAGCATTAAAATTCATTTTTTGCACTTTGGAACGTTATTTTAAACAACTAGACCTCCCCTTACTGGATCCTTCTTCTTGCCTCATTTAATAGAACACCGTAGACTTCTTCTACAGTCTACTTAAACAGTTTGCTAGTTCATATGAACTATCTTCCTCATCTGCCTCAGCAAGTTGTGCCCGAATCGTCATCTATTTGGACGGCCTCGACCTGTTGGAGGGTCGCGATACTGATTGCCTGGCTGCTCAGCTTAGCTGGCTCCGTACTCCTTTACCGGCAGGAACCAGGCTCATTATCTCAACCTGCTCCGAAGCTGCCACAGCCTCCTCCATGTGCTTTGGCCTTGTGGACGCTCTTTCTGCTAGAATAAGGCTTTCGCCTTCGAAGTTGGCCTCGCCCCAAAATGCCTTAAGTATGCTTACACATGGCCGTATTTCATCCAACTTATTACAGAACAAGCAGTCTATGTTCACGTCAAATCTGCTGGCTCCTTATTCTGAAGTTGGCCATTCATCTTCTAAGGACTTGATCTTCGCTAAAGATGATTCTTTACTGCAGAAAACCACCAATAAAGAGAAAATCCAGAAGAGTAATTTGAAATTAAAATATGATTCCTTTACAAATCACTTGGTTCCCGTACTGATCAGGCATGGCAGTAAGCAGTCTGATACTGATTCAGAAGTTCAGGATGTGCGACGAAGTTCATATTCCTCCAACGATTATAATCTCCAAAGACTTCGGTCAAAATTTGAAAATAAGCAGACTACCGAAACTGGCGTAGTTCCTTCACATCGCTTCAATAAAACTGATTTTCAATCTAAGTCAACTCCCTCCATAATCGACACGGCTCTAGGACATGATTCTGGACAACTTCCACTTACTTCCCATTGCTATCCATCCGTCACGAAGCAGAGGTTCCTCGCGCCCCTCTCAGTTACAGATAATTATCTAGATGCTGAGACACGGTTTTTAGCCCCACTTCAGAAAAGCGTTCTGCTGCCATGTCACCAATACCAGGAGCATTCCAAACACGAATTGCAGTTTAGGGAGCATCCTTTACTTCTGCACATGGAACCATTAAAGCCTGAGGAGTGTTTAAACATTTTGGAGGAACATTTGACCGCTCTGGGAAGAACGCTACAACCTGATCAATGGCAATTAGTGGCTAACGTATTCCAGAAACTAAGTTTTCCAATCTTCATCAGCGTAGTTAAATGTCAGGTAAGTCCTGAGATTATAACTTTTCTTAGAGTTCTGAAGGCTATCAAAGATAATCTTGTTGAGGTTGAACCAACTAGCTTAATACATTCCTTTAGTATTGTTCTTTGAGCCTATTCGCTCGCACGGTCTAATGCTGCTCCCCATTAGGTTTTTTTCGTTTCCATTTACTCAGAAGCTTGGGATAATGCTGGTATCGACAAAGGTCACCTTAGATTCGCAATTGGGGAGAGCATTAACTCGACAATATGGCTATTAAATTGGAATAGTGCTGAAAGATGCACAACTCAAGTACAGTCTGAGGAAAATGAGCAAGCAATAGCTCTCGTTTAGACTAGTATAGCTAGATCTTCTTCGGAAGCCTGCAAGAAAATGTTTTTCGTTTGATCTCATTGGATAATAATCTCTATAATTTTGCTTTAAACCTTGATGAAACGCTCTGCCACTAAAGCATTACACTGTCATACATTTAAGAAGGCTTGTCGAAATGCTTTATGGCTGATCCATTCATAGCCAGGTGAGTAAACTTCATTTTTATATTTATATCCCTCCGACCTGCATTATTCGCGATCATTGAGCATTGAGGGCACAATTTATCTGGCAAATTTTTCGTAGCAGTTTTTATTTTGCTTTTTCCCATATTGTTTGAAATCTTTCCTATTATTATTTGTTTCTTCTAATACGTCGATTTCCAGTTTCCGTTTAGTCACTTCCTTGTCAGTTTTTTAAATTCTATTGCATTCGCACTCCTACATCATACTAGTGGATAATTCTACTTTTGTTCAATACTTTCAAATCAAAACCATACAGTATTAATTGAATTAGCTGTAATGGCTGTGATGAAGTTGACTAATCAACTTGTCTCTTTTGTACGGTTTTGGTTCACTAAATAGTTACTTTTTCCTTCGCTTTGCTATTGTTTGGTCATTA